ATTATTTCGTAAGTCAAGATCATGTCATCTGAAAAATTAACAACAGTAGAAGAATTACAAGCAAATCTTATTAATGCTTATCATGAAGAATTTCCAAATGATGAACCGACTATATGTGCATTTGCACCTGGTCGAGTTAATTTAATTGGTGAACATTCCGATTATAATAGTTGTTTTGTTTTTCCAATGGGTATATCAGTTGGTACAATGGTTATTGGAAAAGCATTAGATGATCAAGAAAATCCTAAATGTTATTTTCGTACATTAGCCGGTGAATATAATTAATAAGTTTGAATTTGTTTTTTATTTTTATAAAATTATTTTTCTTTTAAGAGGATCTCAAAGAATCTAAATCATTTGAATTAGATATAACAGAACAAATAAAACCATTAGAATCACCTAAATGGGGAAATTATGTTGTTGGTGTGTTGGCTTTATTTTTAGAACGTATTAAACCAAATAAAAAAAAATCATTTCGTGCACTTATATCAACATCAGTACCTATTGGTGGTGGTCTTAGTTCATCGGCATCAATTGAAGTAGCTATGTGTACATTCCTTGAAATACTTTATCAAGATGAATATGCGTATGATTTACAATTGTCTCAAGTAGAAAAAGCTTTATTATGTTGTAAAGCTGAACAAACATATGCAAATGTACCATGTGGAGTTATGGATCAATATATATCATGTTTTGCTAAAGCTGATCATGCTATATTAGTTGATTGTAAAAATAATACATCAAAATATGTTTTATTTCATGATAAAAGTTTATGTATATTAGTAACAAATTCAAATGTGAAACATGAATTAACTTCAGGAAAATTTGCTGAAAATGTAGAACATTGTCAACAAGCTGCTAAAATTTTAGGTAAAATTTTATATTTTATATGAAAACAAAAGAAAGGAATATCGGCTTATCCAGATAGAAAAAAAAGGATCATATTTGACCAAACTTTAGCAGAAGATTTCTTGATCAAATTTTTTTTTTAAGGTTTTCATATATCGATAGACATTATTTGTTGTGAGTAATAACACAAATAAATGGGAGTCATCAGGTAGAATAAAACATTTTTTGTGCAAAAACAAGGGTTTTATTATCTTTTATCACATTTCGAATACTGCTCTATCATAATAGTATTATCATCGAAGGTAGAGATATACAGGGTTACTCTACACTAGGGAGCTGTAGGTCCATGTTTTTGTGGATTCGAACCCGATCAGGTCCAGATCCTAGATTTTTCAACCAACACTTAGCACCCTCTGTGTACATGAACAATTGAAGGATCAAGGTTTTAGCTATTTATTGATTACTCTCAGAAAAAAAGACAACGTACATTTATTTGTTAGTATTCATTTTTCATGTAGGGAGCTACGGATCCACAAAAATGTGAGCTCCGGTCCAACAAAAAAATAAAACTTTGAGTTCGGATCCGAGTCTGGAAGGATCCGCAGCTCCCTACGCTACACATCTCTAATCGAAGGTTGAGCTAAAGCTTTACATTAGTAGGTCACTTTCTTTTGTTGTCAAAGTTATGAAGACTGAGCTTTTTTAATGAGTCTAAAAAAACCTGCTGAGTACGTTACCTTAATGTTTTAGTGATAATTCTTTTGAGGAACAAACTTCTAAAAAATAAATTTCATCATCGTAAGGTCTGTCGTCTTGGCTAGAGTGTGTTATCGGAAAAGCGACAACTAATTGCAATGTAGAGTTGATTGTATGTCTAGTCAAAGTGTGATTCCTATTTCACTTCCGACAAAGCTCGATTTTCAGACATGTGATTCAATCACACATACAGCACCGCGCGAAGATGAGGATAGTCTATGAAAAATGAAGATTTACTTTATAGAATGGATTTGTCGATGATTTTGCTGGTAAACGATAATTGAATGTTGATATTTGAGTTTATCAAAATGTTACCAAAAAGCGAAAATTATATTCATTGTCGAATAATGAAAACTATAACAGGATAGAAATTTCAACTCATTTCATATATCTTGCTGTAGTATAAATTTCAACTCTTTATCACATTAAATTGTTAATTTATGACAATTTGAAAGTCAAAAATGTTTGTTTTTTTTTTCAAGGTCATAAAAATTTACGTGATGTTTCATCAATTGATGAACTTGAACAAGGACGTGATAAAATGTCACCAGTTACATATCGACGTGCACATCATGTTATAACTGAAATGCAACGTACACAAGCTGGTGCACAAGCTTTAGAAAATAAGGATTATAAGGAATTTGGTCGTCTGATGTATGAAAGTCATGAATCATTACGTAAATATTTTGAAGTATCCTGTGCTGAATTAGATCAACTTGTTGAATTAGCACGCTCAGTTGATGGTGTTTTTGGTTCACGAATGACTGGTGCTGGATTTGGTAAAGATTTTTCTATTAATTATTATTATTATTATTATTTTTTTATTTAATTTATTCATTTTAGGTGGTTGTACAGTAACATTAGTTAAAAAATCATCCGTTGAAAAATGTATTGAAACAATTAAAAATAATTATAAGGGTAAAGCAACTTTTTATCAATTTGAACCAAGTGATGGTGCTCGTTCCATTGACTTAAAAAAGTCGAATGATAAATAAATAAATATTTTATTTTTTATTTTATTTTTTATTTTATTTTATTTTTTATTTTATTTTTTATTTTTTCCGTAATTTATTCCATACCAGCGGTTTATATAAACCTTGGAGATGTCTTTTTTTAATTGATATTCAAGCAATGAAATAAAATTGTTTATTGGTTTTATTGTAGATAAATAATTATGATTGAAGATACATCAAAAACACCTCCATTAATATCAAGTTCAACTCCAACACCAACTCGATCAAATCCCATAAAAGATATTGATGTTTTTCGTAAACCGTTACCACCAGCACCATTAGGACAACAAACACCATCATCTCGTCGTCAAAAACGTAAAATACTTGAAGAAGAAAAATTTGTTCAAGATTTAGCACATATTATTGAACGTGATTTTTTTCCTGATATTAAACGTTTACGAGCAAAAGAAAAATATTTAACTGCATTAGAAAAAAATGATGTTGTTACATTAAGAGATCTCTATGCTAAATATAGTATACATCGTGGTCCAACTCCATCACCATCTATGATGGGTCATAGAGGTAAGAAATAATTTAATTGTAACATTTTATAAAACACAATCTAAAGGGAGTGTTGAAGTATAGGGATAAAAATTTGGATCTCTCCAGAGCTCGTCAGGTTGGTTCAAGTCCGAAAGTTTTGGATCCAATAGGGTCTACTCTCTTCTCCAGACCGTTGCAGATGTTGTTGATAACAAAGTCTCGTTCTCATATATGAACTACTTCTGTATTGCATTTCTGGAGACGATGATAAAGAAATGTATGTCAAAATAATATAGAATCAAGCAATCCTCTGTGATTAGCAATAGCGACTACATCGTGTTTTATATTTTAACCCCACAGAAATTGTACTAACAAATTTTTCTTTTTCTAATTCATTTATTTATTTATCTTTAGATACACCATCAAGTTCATTTGAAACACCGATTGATAGCGGACGTGATACACCGAAAACAATGAAAGATGATAAAGTTGAACATGATGAATTATTATCAAAACGTACAGATATTGATGAAGATGATGAAGATTTTGATAAACAATCAGTATCATCGAAGTTAACTACTCATAGTAAATATTCTTGATTTAGAAAAATTTGTTGATATTTTCAAAAAAAAATACTTTTTTGTAGAAAAAGTACGCGATCTTCGACTTGATCAATATTTAGCCATGAATACAAGTGAAGATAATATTTCATTTGAACATGTTATGGAAGAAACTCAAAAAAAAGACCGTACGAAAGTTCATCAAGCTTGGCTTTATGAACAGCAAGCTTTGACACATTCAGTAAGATTTTTGTTTTTCTCATAATGATCAACATTTGTCTTAATTTTTTCCATTTCTTTACAAACGTCTTGTACTATCACATACACTTTGAGTACTCATGAGAAAATCCTCTTAACTCGTTTTTAAATGATATCTCTTTGTGTAAAGGAAATGTCAAATTGACATCAAAACGAAAAATATTCTAACGGATCTTCTTTCATAATGATAATCATTTTATTAGAGTCAGCCTAAAGCAAGATTTTTGACTAAAATTAAATTATAGAATTTCTTTTATGCAAACTTTTGTTGTTCAAATAGTCTCATGTGTTTAAGAATATTTTAAAAATCAAATTTGAAATGTTTTTGGAACTTTTCATATCATAAGAAAAAAGTATCTTACGAAGAGAAAATTTTAAATCTTGTTATTGTTCCTACCCTAGGATATGGCGATGGTAAAAGTATGTCTTCTACATCGAAATATTCAATGTTCTTATATCAAGATAGGAGCAAATCAAAAGACCGACAGTTTTCACAATAAACTATTCTCATTCAGGTCTATCGCTTTACAAAGTTTCAAATCAAAATTTGAATATCAATTTTCTTGGTGTTCCTAAGGGAGCTCACATCATTGTAGTAAATCGTCAAAAAATGTATTATCTTAATAGTAGTAAACAAAGACCGTGAAGTCTTTTTTAGAATATTCATGGTTGATTAGAATCGACATGACGCATATCATCCTGAGTCAAAAATCGTTAATCAGTTCAGAGACTTCTCTCGTTAGGTAGAACTTCATAATTCAAGAAAAAACTTGACCCGACTTTCTCATTCATTCAATAACAATAAATAAATAAAAAATTTTTATAAATTTTCTATTTCCTCATTTCACATAAAGATTAAGAATTTTTTTTTGTTGTTGAATAAAATATCAAAAACAAATCTGACAAAATTCTTTTAATAACTCATAGAGCACTGAAAGTGGACGAGTTCATGAATTACCAGTTCCATCAATTGAAGATCAAGCAAAAACGAATAATCCTGATTCATCAGAATTTTGGCCTTATACTGTTAAAAATGCTGTTATGTATTTTCCTGAAGGTAATAATAATCGTTAATTTGTTTGTTTGTTTTTTATTAAAAAAACATTCGAATATAATTATTTTTCTTTAGGTGCAAAATTAACTGCAGCTGAAAAAATCGAACAAGCTAAACATGTTCGTTCTATATATCATAAAAATACTCGTTTTGAAATCGATTCAATGGCAGCAACAACAACCGCAACAAACTCATCAAGTCATACATCAACACCAGCTCGGCCAAATGCATTGCTTCGACCACAAATTGATATTGATGGTCGAGAAATAAAACGTTTAGAAAGTCCAAAAGTTAGTGGTTATGGTTTTGTTGTAACACCATCACCAATGCCTGGTGCACATGGTGATGAATCACCAATGATGACATGGGGTCAAATTGAAGGTACACCATTTTGTTTGGATGCTGGTAATGAAACACCACGTACAATAAATAATGGACCACAATTTAAAATAATTGAAACACCATTACGTGAACAATTAGCATTAGAATTAGTTGAAAAAAATGCAGCACAACATCGTAAAAAAAAAGTTGAAGCAATGAAAACAATTAATAAAAATTTTTCATCAACAAATAATACAAAACAAACAAAAGAATTACTTCTATCAACTATGAGTCCAGCTGCACAACGTTTATTAACAAATCGTCTTGGTATACAACGTACACAATCAACAAATACACAACGACAAAATGTATTAACACCATCACCTGTTGTACGTACAAGTGATCGAACACCAAGACCACCATTAAATATTGGAATTATTAAGCATTCACCAAGAACACCAAGCACACCCACAATAACAACAACTGGCAATAGTTTGACAGATAATCTTCTCAATTTAAAATGATAGTGAAGATTGTTTCTTTTCTTTTTTTTTTATTGTATATATATATATATAATCATTACGATTAAAAGAAAACGTTTTGATATATCATGTTCACATGTGCGATATTTACCTAATAGAATAAAAATAATCTATTCTATTGATAGAAACATGTATATTTTACAAATCATTTTATTTATCACATTCTTCTAATGATGTTGAATATGACAAAGACATGTACAATTAAAATTATGGTATAATAGATGATCATGTCAAAAATAGTTTACTTGAAATTTTTTTTGTTTTTATTATCTTACTAATTTCGTCATTAGTCTTTCTGTTTGATCTTTTCAATAGTCATAAAACATAATTTTTACAATTAATAAAATGACTTTGACAGTTAACCAATTTAATATGAATATTATCTTTGATTCATCACTTATGATTGTATATAAGAAAAAAAAAAGTTTGTTTCACTTTGGATATTTTAGTTTCTTAAAAAAAACTATAATTTAGTGATTGAATGATGATAATATGTCAAATAATGATATGAAATTATTTAGGTTTCAGAAGATTACTGCCAGTTATTTCTACGTTGCCATATATAGATGATGACATGTAATTATTCATTCATTCATTCATTCATTCTGTGCACTTCAGACAGTATGGCACTTGAACATGTGCGCGTGCGTTCTTCTTTTTCTTTGATCTAAATATAAGAGTGCGCCATACACTAAGTGAATGAACAATCATCTGAATGAAAACATAATAAATGATCGGATGTATTCTTCATATTCCATCAGACACGATTATTATGTAAGTCTTCGTCAATCATAGGTAAAACTTTGAATCGTTGCTTATATATCATTTTCTTATTCATGTGTTTGCTTCTCACCATTGCACATATATACATACATATGCAATACTTAGTAGAAGAAAACGAGAGAGAGAGAGAGAGAGAGA